CAAACGGATTCATAGTCAAATTCTACCAAACATACAAAGAACAGCTGGTACCAATCCTATTGAAACTAGGTCAAAAAATTGAGGAGGAGGGACTCTTCCATAACTCATTCTGTGAAGCCAGAATCATCCTGATATAAAAACCTGGCAAAGATGTGATGAAAAAAGAAAACTACAGGCCAATATCCCTGATGAACATAGATTCCAAAAATCCTCAATGAAACACTAGCAAACCAAATCGAGCAGCACATCAAAAACTTACTTCACCATGATGAAGCAGGCTTTATTCCTGGGATGCAAGGTTGGTTTAACATACACAAATCAATAAATATGATTCACCATATAAACACAATTAAAATCAAAAGGCATATGATCATCTCAATAGAGGCAGAGAAAGATTTTGATAAAATCCAATATCCCTTCATGATAAAAATCCTCAACTAACTAAGCACTGAAGAAACATCCTTCAAAATAGTAAAAGCCATCCATGACAAACCCATAGCCAATATCATATTGAATGGGCAAGAGCTGGAAGCATTCCCCTTGAATGCTGGAACAAGACAAGAATGCCCATTCTCACCAATCCTGTTCAACATAGTACTGGAAGTCCTAGCCAGAGCAATGAGGCAAGAGAATGAAATTAAAGGCATTCAAAAAGAAAAAGAAGAAATCTATATATTAAATAGGGAGTCCTTTCCAATCCATGAGCAGGAGAACTACAAAACACTGCTTAAATGAATCAGAGAGAGAAACAAATGAAAATGAAACAAACAAATGAAAAAAACATTTCATGCTCATGGATTGGAAGAATCACTATCATCAAAATGGCCAAATTGCCCAAAGCAATCTACAGATTCAATGCTATTCCTATCAAACTACCAATGTCATTTTTCAAAGAATTAGAAAAAAACTATTCTAAAATTCATATGGAACCAGAAAAAAAACTCAAATAGCTAAAGCAATCATAAGCAAAAAGAACCAAGCTGGCAGGATCACATTAACTGTCTTCAAACTATACTACAGGGCTACAGCAACCAAAACAGCATGGCACTAGTACAAAAATAGGCACATAAACCAATGGAATAGAACAGAGAACCCCAAAATAAAGCCACACACCTACAACCATCTTATTGTTAACAAAGTCAACAAAAATAAGTAATGAAGAAAGGACTCCCTATTTAATATATTGTGCTGGGATAACTGGCTAGTCATATGTAGAAGATTAAAACTGGACACATACATCTCACCATGTACAAAAATTAACTTAAGATGGATTAAAGATTTAAATGTGAGACCTCAAACTATAACAATCCTAGAAGAAAACCTGGGAAATAACCTTCTTGACATCAGCGTTGGCAAAGAATTTATGGCTAAGTCCCCAAAAATCAATTGCAATAAAAAAAACAAAAAATTGACCTCATTAAACTAAAGAGCATCTACATAGCAAAAGAAACTAGCAACAAAGTAAACAGGCAATCTACAGAACAGGATGAAATATTCACAAACTATACATCTAACAAAGGTTTAATATTCAGAATCTATAAGGAAGTTAAACAATTCAACAAGCAAAAAACAAATAATCCCATTAAAAAATGGGCAAAGGACATCAACAGACACTTCTCAAAAGAAGACATACAATTGGGCAACACAGATATGAAAACATGTTCATTATCACTAATCATCAGAGAAACTCAAATCAAAAACATGATGAGATACTAACTCAACCAGTCAAAATGGCTATTCTTTTTTTTTTTTTTTTGACAGAGTCTCACTCTCTCACAGAATGGCTGGCTACTCTTATCAAAAGTCAAAAAATAACAGATGTTGGCAAGACTGTGGAGAAAAGGGGATGCTTATACACTGTTGATAGGAATGTAAATTAGTTCAGTAAGTTCAGCAACTTTGGAATGCAGTTCAAAGATTTCTCAAAGAATTTAAAACAGAACTACCATTCAACCCAGCAATGTCTTTACTGGGTATATATCCAAAAAGACACATGCATTCATACATTCTACCAAAAAGATACATGCACCTTATGTTCATCATAGCACTATATACAACAGCAAAGATATGGAATCAAACCAGGTGCCCAACAATGGTGGACTGCATAAAGAAAATGTGGCATATATATGCCATGGAATACTATGTAGCCATAAAAAAGAAGGAAATCACTTCCTTTGCAGCAACATGGTTGCAGCTGGAGGCCATTATCCTAAGTGAATTAATGCAGAAAAAGAAAACTAAATACCACATGTTCTCACTTATAAGTGGAAGCTACACATTGAGTACACATGGACATAAAGATGGGAACAATAGACACTAGGAACTACAGGAGGAGGTAGAGAGGGAGCAAGGGATTGAGGGACTATCTAATGGGTACTATGGTCACTACCTGGATGTGGAGTTCAATCATACCCCAGACTTTAGTATCACATAATATATCCTGTGGCAAACCTGCATATGTACATATGAATCCAAAATAAAAGTTTAAAAGAAAGAAAAGTGTGCAGGAGGAGTATGTGGAGAGAGGAGGAGAGTACAGGAAAAGAGGAAAGTACAATGGGAAAGGAGGGGAGGGGAAGAGAAAGGAGGGAAGAGAAGGGAAAGGAAAGGTGGATAAGGGAAGACAAAAGAAGAAGAGAGGAGAATGTGGAGGTTCATACAAGGTTGTAAGGGCCTAGAAGCAGTGTACATCATTTCAGCCTACATTCTACTGGCTACAAATCAATTTTATGACCTAACTTGGTTTCAAGTATTGGAATCAGGACCAGAACCCATGTCCCCAGAGCTGGTCCAGGTGCTGGTCACACACAATATGATGCCTGATCTGGGGGCCTCATGCCCTCTCCTCTTACCCAACCCACACACTTGCCTTACCATATGCACCACGCAGATGAACTGCCACAGTTTCTACCTCAGTCACCTCTGAAAGAATGCCTTGATTTTGCCAAATGCTTGATCTTTGGCATAAGGAGCTATAACATCCAGATGGAGGTATCTTTGCTCTAAATTCATAGAGGCAGAGAAAGTCATGATTCTAGACCAAACTCTTCATTTCACCAGTGAGGAAACTGAGGACAAAATAGGATCCCCATCCAGGGACCAGCCCAAGGAGACACACCTACAAAGTGACAGCACTGGGCAGCAGAGCCAGGTCATCAGGCTCAGCGCTGGGACCACCCGTCAGGAGGCTATGACCACTTCAAGTTCTTACAGCAAAACAACTCAAGGAGAAGACTTTTAGGCCTCCCGGAAGTAATTATTTGGGAGAAAGAAGGCTCCCAAGAGCCCCTTAAATGATTCTGCATGGCCTGCTCTGTTAGTTCAATAGCTCTCAGGAATTGTAGATTCCTTTAGAATCCAATAAAAGTGTGTTTTTTAAATCAAGTTTGTTTTTCAGCTCCTGCCTAAGTGTCAAATCATAACAGAAGAGCCCACATTTCCTGAGAAGCTTCTAGGTACAGGGGCTGGGGCTGGAGTATGGGGGACAGACATGGACCCAGGCCTTTTAGACATGAGTGTGCCTCTGTTGTGGCACACTCATGATGAGGCACAATTCTGGATTCAGCTAAAATCTAGGAAGAGCTTTCTAATTCAAGAAAGTAAATGAAATATAGTAAGGGTGAAATTAGCACAATGACTTTGAATCTACCCTAATCTATATTTTTAAGTGAAAAACTTTCAAATTTTTTCTCTTTATTTTTTTTTTCCTTTAACAAGTTAGTTCCATCTCTCACCCTGGTCCAAGCCCCTAAGTGGAATGGGAGCTTGGCTCAGCATCTCTGTTGTATGAACCCATATCCAGCCCACCCTCAGGAAGGCTCATCCCTGCAGGGAAGCCAGACTTAGGAGGCTCATGCCTATCTCTCAGGCTCCAGTTCCACTTGGCAGGGGCTTTCTGGCCTGCCTCTGTTCTGAGATGGCACCGAGATAATGCAGAAACGAGCACAATGCTGACAGCCTGCCCCATGTTTACAGTACATCTCAGCAATGTTCCCTAATGCTCGTGTAAACAGATTGCATGGTCCAGACTCAGCGGCTCCAAGCACTCTGGCAGGGGCCCAGCAGGACAGCCACGTAAAACCCACTCCCCACACCTGAGTTTCTTGACCTGCCAAGGGCAACTCCTTAGAGAAGAGGCTTGTAGAGCTGAAAGGCAACCCACAGGCCTCATGGCTATGCAAACATGCAGATAATATGTAATTATCAGAATGCTATCATGGGCTATGCCTAAGCTGAACAAAAAGACACACTTGGTTTTAGTCATCATGGAGCACCCAGTCTGGTAGGGAAAACAGGCTACTGCCATGCAGGTTATACCATGGTGGCCACATCAGGGCTGGGCAGAAGATATCATCCTTGATCTTGAATGAGAAGGCACTTTCTAAACACTGATGCCTCCATTTCCTAAGCTCACCCTATGAACCCAGCATGGAGCTGAGCACTGGAAACAGCCCAGTAAATAAGACACAAGTCACCTGACATCTCTTTTTGTGTTTTTCCTACTAACAATGCTTCCTTCTGTGTTAGTTGGCAAGGGCTACCATGACAAAATACCATAGACGGGGTGGTTTAAACCGAAATGTATTCTCTCACAGTTCTGGAGGCTGGAAGTCCAAGATTAAATTTTCTGCAGCCTTGGTTTCTCCTGAGATCTTTCTCCCTGGTGGGTAGATGTCCACTTTTTCACTGTGTCCTCACATGGCCTTTCCTCTTTGCCCGAGCACCTCGGGTACCTCTTCCTCTTCTTATAAGAATATCAGTTAGATTGGATTATGGCCCACTCTAGCAGCCTCATTTCAACTCATTGCATCTTTAACTGCCCTATCTCCAAATGCAATCACCTTGAGTAGTGAATTTGAGGGGAAGATAATTCTGTCTATAACACCTTCTATGTCTAGAATAAGTTGCATTTTGAAGTTAAGAGAACATGGAACAACTTGTAAAAATGTGAGCTTTGGGGACAGGCAAACATGAGTATGACTTTTAGATCTGTCACTTACCTTCTGCCTGATTTTGGACGAGTACCTTATGGAGCCTCAGTTTCACTCATCTGTAAATTGAAGTAATAATGTGTGCATTACAAGTGTCTTGAAGGCATAAGAGGTTGGATTGTAGAGAGCATTTAATGAAAGCTACTAATGCTGCTGGTGGTATTTGTTAATGGTAGGAATGGTAGTTTGGGGGAAGACAAGTCTAGATTTAGACTCAGATAATAGCAGCTGGCATTTATAGAGCATATATATGCCAGGCACTGTTCTAAGTGGATTCACTCATTTAATTTTTAAAACAATACCAGGAAGTAGAAACAATTGCTACCCCCATTTAACAAATAGGGAAAGTGAAGTACAAGGTTAAGTAAATGTCTTCAAGGTCACAGACAGGTAATAAATGGAAAATCTGGAATTTGAACCCAGGCCTCTTGACCCCAGAGCCCACATAGTCAGTGTTACTATAAGTAATTCATCTAGGAATTTAAACAATGTACTGAATCTCTATAAACTAAAGCAATATTCTCATGGCCTATAATCATCATAAAATAACTTGTTAGTTATGAGTTGCTCAAGAAAGGTTACTTCTCTTTTTGCTTGAACTCCAAAGATTTTTATTAGGGAAACAATAGTGGCAGCACTTTTCAGACAGAGGAGCAAATATCAAAACTGGGACTTATCTATAAATTAAACCCCTGCCCACATCCCAAATAGAGAACATAGCTTGAATCTATCCTTTAAAGCCCAGAATGTTGATTAAAATGCTTTTATAAAGTAGAAAAAAAAATAAAGCTAATATTAAAAAATCCTGTTTTATTAATCCCCAAAGGAAGGATTTTATTAATTCCTTTAGAATCCAATAAAAGTGTGTTTTTTTAATCAAGTTTGTTTTTCAACTCCTGCCTAAGTGTCAAATCATAGCAGAAGAGCCCACATTTCCTGAGAAGCTTCTAGGTATAGGGGCTGGGTCTAGAGTATGGGGAACAGACATGGACCCATGCCTTTTAGACAAGCCAGCTGGATAAAAACAAACATGAAATATTAAGTACTATCAGGATGATAGGAAAAAGCAGTGCTCATGAGGGTGATTGTGTCTATTTTATTATTTTATTTTCATACAAACAAGAACTGTTTATTCCAGAACAGTGTCTGGCACATATTATATTAGACCTTGAATAATACTTGTTGAATAAGTAGGCAAAAGTATAATCATGGAGGGTCTTACTGATGTAGGAAGAAGTTTGCTTTTAATGCCAAAACAACATCTGTATGGTTTTCAAGCAGGAGAGTAACATGGTCTTTATGGATTTTTTTTTTCTTTTTGGTAAACTACCTTGATAGCATTAGGAGAAGGGATCATGTATGTGGAAGGAAATGAAACAAGGAGACGAAGTAAGAGGTCACTATATAGCAGGGGTGACGTTGGACTAGACTGGGGGTATAGCAGTGCAGGTGGGAAGACCTGGATGGATCCAGGATATATGTGGGATCTAGGGTCCACAGGAGACTTTGTGGATTCAATGTGAGAGATAAAGGAAATAAGGACAGCAGTATGAGCTCCTGGCATTTCACTTGAGCATCTGGGTAGACGGTTATGGCATTTACTGAGATGGGAGTAATATAAGCATGAATGGGTTTGGGGCTCGGAGAGAGCAGAAGTTAAGAATTCTATTTTGGGTATATTAAGGATAAGGTGTCTATCAGACATCTTGTGAAATATCAAATGGTTGGTGGGTAAACCAGAAGTTCAGAAAGATATCAGATTGTCAGTATATTGAGGCATGGAGGTGGAAATGCTGGGTGTTCTACCAGAATCATTTGAAACAAGGGTAAGACCCACTATTTCATGACAACATCAAATTCATGCCTCAGCCTAACTAGAAATCATGGGGTGCTTAAAAATAGACAATATGGATCAATAGTTGTTCTTCCTGCAGAAAATCCAACACATCCAAATGGGCCACCACATCCTTTGAAGAACTTCTCCTAGACTTTCTAGCCCTCTCCCACACCCAGCAAGTTTTAGGTGAGACTCACTGGTACCCACATACAGTTAAAGTCCACCCTGCAAATTGCGGGTTTAATCAGATGCATGGCTTCATCGCTTGGGCTTAATGAGGTAAACCAGACCTCCGGTAATATTGCCTGTATAATTGACATGGTTCTCTGGGAAACATTACGCTTTATAATGAAAATACTGTATATAATTAGAATCTAATAGGAAGAAAATAGTAATTAGCCAGAATTAACTGAACAGACGCAATCAGGCAAATAAAGGTTATCCTCAGGAGAGGACCCTTCAGAGTTCAAAAGCACGTCCTATAATTGTAGAGAAGCCCCAGTAATTAAGGGTAATTTTTTTCCCTGTATCGTGGTGGAAGAGTTTTTTTTTATTTTTTACATTTCTGGTCTTCGGTTTGTGTGTGTGCGCATGTGTGTGCATGCAGGTGTGTGCCTGCTGAGTGGCAGAATGAATTTGGCCAAGACATAAAAAGGATTTGGAAGGTCGCACACACAAAGCCATGAAAGTAGGGAAGGGCAAGTGCAAGGGCAGGGAACCCAGAGCCTAAAGTTCCAGGTGCAATGCTCTGTCATTAACTAGCTGTGTGACTTTGGGTGAGTCACTCCCCATCTCTGATCGTAACGATAATAGTGGTTACTATTTACTGAGTGTACACTTGCTATGACCTGTCATGCTAAGCACTTTCCATACATTATCAATATAGTCTTTATATTCTTATACACTGGATAAACACCCTCCCTTCTTTATTTGCTTCAAAGCAAAGACTTCTCTTTTCTCCTACATAAGATTAAACCAGACAATTTTTAAATATTAATAATGACAATAAAATTTTTCCCCAGGGTTATTGTGAGAATCCACTAAGATCATGCCCTTTTTCAAGCTGCAAGAAGGAAGAAAATCAGACTTTATGAACCATTCATTTACACCAAGAACTGTATAAGAACCTGGAGTTGTCAGGCCCCAAATCTGAGCTCCCTTCCTGCAATATCCACCCAGCATTGATGGCCTCTCCCACTGGTGTTATGATTAGGGTGTAAGCTTGTGCTCTAAGGCTACAGTAACAAGAGTGCTCTCTAGAACCCATGGAGTCACTCACCTGCTTCATCTGTGGGAGGAGAAGAGGGGTGTTTTGCTGGAGGAGAGTTAGCCTTGAGTGAAGCCAGGGAAATTGCTCTGTGGACCACCATGAAACAGGTCTTCTCTTGCCAGTCAGTGTGATGGCCTCTCCAGCACCACATGGTCCAGTTCTAAATGTAGGAATATGAATGCCAACAAAGAATGTTGTCCATGTTTAGCTCAGAGTTAAATATCCCATCACTTGCCCCTGTACCATCACAGAGCCAGTTCTCTGAGAAGATCCAACCAACATTCATGAGCACCAAACCTGTGCTGGGCTCAAGGTGGGCACTAGAGGTGTGGGGGCTGTCCTTCATGGAGACTGCCGTCCAGGGAGCAGGGGTGGGAATGCAGGAGGGAAAAGAGACACATTGCATGCATGTCTCTAGAACACAAGCTGGAGTAAGTGCTGTTATAACAGCACCACCAAAGCTAATAGAAAACCTAAGGGAGCTATTGAATTCCTGCAAAGAATAGAGACGGATCTGGGAAGACTTCTGGGGGAGGTGGCATTTTAGTAGGACATTGTGAAGTGGAAATAGGAGAGAGGGAAACTCTGGGGAAAAGGATCAGCCTGGGCAAAGGCATGATGGCAAGTGGATACACAATGTATATCATGGGATGTCACAGATCTATTGAGAAGCAGATGTCACAGATCTATTGAGAAGCAGAGGTTTCTAGTCCTCTCCTAAAAGAGAGAGAACTGGGGATTTCTCAGGTATCTCTATCTACCCTCTTACTCACCTCTCCCCACAAGAGGAGTAATAGACTAGATTGGTAAGGCTAAAGAGCAGTTCATCTCATCATCCAAAGGGCATACATGGGAAAGAGCAAGAAAGAATGGTGTGTTCCAGGCATGAGGAAAGATATCTTTCATGGGGATCCTTTCACCTATCTCTGCCCAGGTTGGTGGGCTCTGGGCAGAGGGGCTTGCTCCTATAAGCTCAAGCAGGCCTGTTTGCTAGCTTCTCCATCAGTCTCAAGAGGGAATAAAAGTGGGGTCCACAGTCCTGATTCAGGAAAGAAGGTCCCGGTGCAGGCATATTCTTTAATCGAACTCTACCATTAGTGAATCTGCTTCTGGTTTTATTTCTTACCTATGTTTTTGTGTTCATTTTTAAATTGACTGGATCTGGAGGAGAGTAGTAGCCGGGTATTGACAGGCTTAAATCTCCCATCATGTGCTACTGGGTCAGTCCATGGTTTGGTGTGTTTAGATCACAGGGCAGGGTACGGATGGTGGTAGATAAGGCTGGAAAGGCCAACTTGTTTCTTAAGAAGTGGGAGAGTAAATAACCAAATTATCACGTAATTTCAGTACCCTTCCTCCATACCACATATCAAATCTATTAAGTCTGAAATGTACCCTACCTTTAGAGAAATGGGGCTCCACTCTTAAGATTCTTACCTATCAATCTGTGTGTTGAGACTTAACATCTCATGCCTCCCTCCCCAGCATGCATCAATACCATATTGGTAATGGGGATATGCACGAGAGTGGAGAAAAGTTTTTGGTACAGCTACTAGAGGGAGAGAATGAATGGATGGATACACGGCCATGGGACATTAAACTCTAGCTATGTTATCTGTCTTCAAAGTGATAATCATGTATATAGCATGTATTTACGAAACACAACATGCAAAGCTCTGTAACAGGAACCAGGGAAGCTATATAGAGGGGTTAAACATAGCCCATCCATTTGAAGAATTTACCATATAGCAAAGAGAGATTTGTATAAAATAATTATAATACAAGGTGAGAGGAAATAGGATAATTAGTTTAAGTGCTATAAAGTGCTGTGGGTATGCAAAAGAGAGAGAAAGATTTCTTTGGCAAGAGAATTTAGAGAAAATTTCCAGGAAGAGGCGGTGTTAAAGCTAAGGCTTGAACTCTAGGGTCTATATGGAAATGTAGACATAAAAGGGGGGTCTTCTTCATGATGAAGCATCTTAAGCAAGAACAAGGGAGTAACAAATACGAAGAGGAATGGGAAGTCATGAGGACCACTAGCTCATATAAAGAAGCATTCTGAAAAATATATGGAAGTCAGAGCTTGTAGGATCTTGAATGCCAAATCAAGATGGACCTTGCTGGGCATTTTGAGTTAAAGGCATGACTCAAGCAGGGTAGTATCCCAGTGCAATTGATCAAAGCAGAGTCCCCTAGAGGATCAGAGACTTGGTCTCCTTCTTGGAGTAAGTCTCTGCCTGTGCTGAGTGCTGAGTGATGGGAAGCGAAGTCACAGGATGGTTTTGAAGATTACCATGTGGCTCTGCCCCCTTCCTTTTCTCTGCCAGAAGAGGGAACCAAGGCAGCTCTGATGATCACAGGTGGAACCCTCTTGTCTGCGCCTCCTATTTCTATTATTAAAGCCACTTAATGTCTAATTACTCAACCAGCCACAAGGCCTTCAGAGAGCTCCTTGCCAGAGAGCAATCGGATTTGTCAGACATTTCCAAAAGCACACAACTCTCTTGGAGGTCTCCGAATAGCTATGTCAGTGGCCCTAATGGAACATAATTTCCTGTAAAGGAAAACTAATTTAATATTTTCAGGTATTATGTAACCAAGTGCCCGCGGAGAGAGGGAAGACAACTGCTAACGAGAAACAATCAGAGCTCAGTACGCCTGTGGAATCAGAAAGCCTGCAGGTCTGTTTAATGCTGCAAAGGGGACCCACGGGAGTGGCTGATTGCAGAGACCGGGGTATGGTAGTGCAATGGTGAAGCGTATGGGCTTTCAGCCAGGCTAGACTGAGGTCTGCTGCTTTCTAGCTGTGAGACCTTGGGCATACTACCTAGCATCTCTGAACCATGCTGAAGTTTCATCATCAGCAAAATGAGAATGATAAAATAATCCTAACTCATTTGGTTGTTGTGATGACTAAAAAGAATAATGTATGCAAGGTGCATAGCACAGTGCCTGTCACTTAAAAAGTCATTAAATAAATGGCTGTTATTACAGCTGCTGTTATTATTGATCAGAGTAAAGGAAAACTTGCTTTCCTCTCACTTTTCATTTTGGAAGAAGGGATAGGGTCAGGATACCAAGCACCCAAACCTTGTGGAGTAAACAACATATAGTCAGAGGACCATCCTACAGTTGTCCACTCCACTACCACCCTCACACCTCATCACTTGAACAGTTATTAAAAGGACAAACAAATCTTTCATCTCTTGCCTGGATCGTGGATTGCAATAGCCTCTTTATTCCCCCACCCAGTGCCATAATCACCTCCTTCAGGCTATCTTCCTTACTGCAGTTAAAAGATATTTCCCGAACTTCCATCTGATAATATTAGCCCTCTGTTTAGAGGGCATAGTAGAATTTCTCAGATCTAAAAAATTCAAATTCAAACTCTTATCCTAGCATTCAAGGCCCTGCAAAATGTGGCCCCAGCCTTGTCTCCCTGAGAGCTCCTGTCCTGTCTCGTAATCTTCCAACACACCAACTTCTTGCCATTTCTCTAATAAGCACTCTCCCTCTCTCACATGTGCAGCCAACCTCAAGAATCATGGCACTTTTTCCTAGCAAGTCAGACACGACCTCAGAATCTTTCTTAACACAGTGTTCCAGGCAGTCACAACCAACAGGTCATGTTTGGGACAAAACATTAAATCCATTTGCTAGTCTAGAATAGCCTGGGTCTTGGCCAAACTGATTCAACTTTGTCCTCAGTCTCAGAGACCCCTGAAAACTGACTTAGCCAAGCTCTCCAAATTGATCACATGCCTTTGGGCCTCTCCTGAGACTGAGAAGCCTCTTTCCCATGGAAGGCTCCCTATACCTCTTCCTATACCAGACCCTAGGGCCCTAAATCCTCCCTCCTATGACACAGCTTCACTCTGGGGCAGGTAACTAGTCCCTCGAACTCAGCAATGTAGTTTTAGCTGTCCCTTCTGCTACTAGTCAGCTGGACCCAGATGTTTCTCATGGCCCTAGGGATCCCTTGTACTGGCCCTCTCCAGGATCCAAGGAGATGCTTTTTCCTCAATCTCTGAAAAACCAAGGAAGGTTGCTCTACCACCAGCAGCAGGTTTAGGCTCTAAGAATAGATACCTTCAACTCAGGATCCTCCACCCCCAGGATAAAATCCTTAACTTCTTAAAGTTTTATGAACTAGTATACTTTCCTGAAACACCTAGATCCAATGTCAGATTTCTACAGCTTTCTCAGCTGAGAAGATTGGAAGCTGTTTTAGCTGAACTTCTACTGCAGACATGCCCGAGGCTGCCCAGAAACCCGCCAAAGAGACCTCAGGGTCTAGTGGAGCAAGGCTAAACCACAGCCTCCAGTGCAGAAATTCTCCATCCCTGGGGAGGTTTTTAAAAATCCCAATGCCTTAACCCATCCAAAAATAAACTCTAATTTATTTGCTCTCATGTGGACAATATACATCAGCTTTAAGGGAAAAAAAAAAGAGCTCCCAAGTTGCTTCTAATGTGTAGGCTTTTCTGTAAACAGTCACATTCATTCAGAAATATTGAGAACTGCCAACTACAGATGACAGTGGAAAAGCCCTATATGAATATCCTCTGGACAATGGCCCCAGCATTCTTTCCAGCACAAACAGGGTGGAAAGGACCAAATTCTGTCTGAAACAACTTAGGAAACATTAGAGATGACACCGAAAGACCTGGAAGGCACTACTTTAACCCAATGGGGAGTCTTAACTGGAGCTGATGCCTAAGCCTATATTCATTCATGCATGCAGTATTCATTCATTCATAAATATTCAGCTCTTATTATGTTCCAGGCATGGTACTAGGACTCAGGCGATGGCTCCAGCTCAAAGAACCCCTGATTCTGAACCATGATCCCAAGTTAGTGGCTACTGGAGGTAGTTTCTGAACCTCAGCTGAGAACTCCAACAATTTCCACTACATTTTGATACCTCAGAGGCAATAATTGACCAATAACAATTATTTTTATTTTCCTTAGGCTCTTGAATAACAAATTATTGAGTGTTTACATTTGTAGCAATCATACTACATTTTATTTACCAGCCACCATTTTGTAAGATAAATTTTGTTCCATACAATTTACAGGTGAGAAGATAAAGAAGTTGAAAGAGGGAAATTAATTTGCCCAGAGTTGCATAGCTCTTAGAGAGTTGAGCTGAGATCTGAT